GGACCCCTATTCATTTCCACCACCAGGTCACAGGCACTGCACTGGTTGTTGTCCTGTTCTCCAACTTTGCCAACGATTCTGAGAGCTCTCACTCCTTCCAATAGGTTCCCTTTTGGTTTTGTAAAGAAACCAAGACAATGAAAGGAAGGGAGGGAGGGAGGAAGGAAAAGAATCAGACAAAATCAAATTTATGGACACTTTAGAAAATAAAGGGCCCCTATTCTCTGAAACAGCTCAATGAATTAGAGTCTAGGGAAGGCTGAGAAACTGTTCCAGATTAAAGGTGACTAAAAACACATGATAACTCAATGCAATGTGTGATCTTGGGCAGGGGGGAAGAAAAAGGTGATACAAAGGACAACATTAAGGCAATTGGTAAAATATGAATATGGGATTTGTATCAGATAATGTGTCATTGTGGGAATTTCTGAATTTTATAATTACACTGTAATTATGTAAAAGAAATTTCTTATTCTTATGAAGGGCGGGGCTGAGACGCAGGTGAGGGGGTTTGCTGTGTGGGTGAAACATTGTAGAAGGGTAAAAACTTGGAAATAAGAGAGAATCCAAACATGTAACTGACTGTATGTCGTGTTTTGTCCCCAGGATACCTTTATAACAGTAATAAAGAGCTTGACATGCATTACCTTATTTAAAGCTTTCAAGAGCAGCTATGTGAGTATAGGTATCGTTTTCACTTCACAGACAAGGAAACTGAGACATAGAGAGAATTAATTCTTTGTCCAAGATGACACAGCTTGTAAGTGGCAAAGTGGCTGTCCTGTGATCCAGAGACTAGCTACCTCCCTCAGAAAAATCTACGTCACTTACTGTGTTTGTTAAGATGCTTTTGGCTTTAAACACGGAAAATCTTGATTCAAACTAACTTATAATCTTGTATAACAGGCGTTCCAGTGGTAGGGTGAGGTCCAGGCCAGCTGGTTATAAAGTGCATCAGGACTGGTATCAACAGCCCAGGTCTCCTCTGTCTCCCTGCCCTGCCATCTTCAGTGTTAGCCTCCTCTTCAGGCTGGTCCCCAAATGGCTGTCCCAGATCCAGCCCCCATATCCAGATAAGGTAATGTTCCGGGACAGAAAGGACCATCTCTTCCTGGTTCTCTTTTTTATGGGGAAGGAAACTTTTCCAGCTGTAACCCCTCAAGGAGATATCACCCATCAGCACATCGGGCAGCGAGTGCGGGGTCACACACTCATTCCTGAACTGTTCTGTGCCTGGTCTTAATTTGTAAGTGACTGCATGACAACATGGAGGGGTCAGTGTCATTGAGAGAAAAATTTAATGTTACCCAGAGTTCCCCTAGAAACAAGAGACACTGTTCACCGTGCAGGACCACACAAGGAACCCCAAATTTTGGTCAGGAAGCAAAAAGAACAAGGAGAGGGGCTAGGCCAAAAGCCTTTATTGGGGTTTCTCAGGGAATAGGCAAGGCAGGGTAAAGTGCACTGCTTAGGATTGGCTAGTTTGAATAATTCCAGTGGGCTTTGGGTTATAGGGGTGGTTCTTAGTTGCCTGACACCTGGCTCTGGGGTTGATTAGGGCAGGGGGATATTGTCCTGGGGTACAAGGGTCAGATAGAGGCTCTGGGTGGATTAGTTTGCATATGAGAGGCAGCCAAATGGCTTTTGAAGAGCTCAAAACATCATAACATCCAGGAAAAAAATGTAAGTGTCATTAAAACAGGGACTAGTCACTGACAATAAGAATGGCGTTACCTTGACTTGCTTCAACAAATGACTTTGCAATACAATGGACATGAGGATGTCAACCCCACTGTCCACTGCACAAAACAAGGTACTAGTGTGAGAAAATGTGTTGTGGGTGTGGGTGTGTGTGTGTGTATATAAAGGAGAGCTAATTTCTAGAGTCAGGCTGATACGGTAAAAACAGTGTTGCATGTGGTAACACAGAAAAAGATGAGGGTGGGGAGAGCTCACATCTGCTTTACATGTGATTTGGTGTTTAATGGCAGCAGGCTGAAAAGCTTAACCAGTGACAGTGCAGAAATTCAACATCCCTAGGCCTATATTTACTCTTCCCTTGAAAGGGCTTTGCTTGAGTATTACCCAGGTTTTATTCCAGGGGTGACCAACCATCCTCCATCAGACTGACAAATTCTGTCTGTAGCTTTTTATAATACCTTTAGTCAAGACTAGGTTTTTTACAGATGGGGGAAGCAGTCTTAGCCCTTAAAATAATTTTAAATATCTCTGCTCTGATAGTGTACCATAACTTAAGAGAGCAACCCAATTCCCCTTATTTCTGGGTTAGGACATCCCCCATCTGTCCCGCTATGTAAACAACACACCTGCCTCTTGGCCATTTCTCTCTGACTCCCACATTTACAAAATGCTAGCAATAGGTATCGTTTCCCTTAACCATACTACTCTAGATCCGAAATATCAGGGCAGGATGATATTGTAACGTTACATAGATCTTGGGAATGTTGTAACATTGTAAGGTGTTGTCTAAAAAGAGAGATTTTGCTGCCTACCAATTAGCCGTTGAAAGATGGCTGATTTCCACAAGATGAGTAAACCGAGGACCAGAGAGCTTAACAAACTTGCTCAAACTTCACTGCTGGGTAGTGATGGAATTTGTTTTCTTTTCTTTTTTTATTGTTAACACTATTACAGATGTCCCCATCTCCCCCCGCCCTTTGGCCCCCTCCACCCAGCCCCCACTCCCCTTGGCCTTCACCACATTGTTGTCCGTGTCCATGGACTGTGCGTACATGCATATATGTTATGTAGCTAATCTCTTCCAGTCCCCCTTCCCCCCTTCCCCCCTTCACCCTGAGATCTGTCAGTCTGTTCCATGTATCCATGCCTCTAGTTTTATTTTGTCCATCAGCTTACTTTGTTCATTAGATTCCACGTACGCGTGAGATCATATGGTATTTGGAATCAGTTTTCAGTTCTACGTCTGTTGGGCTTTATGCCATTATATGTTTTTATTGAAACCCATCAAAAGTACTTGCCTTATAATGGAGGTTTGTACCTTTTGACTTCCAGTTATAAAATAAGTAAGTACTGGGAATGTAACATACAACAGGATGACTATAGTTAACACTGCTGTATGGTACATTTGAAAGTTGCTAAGAATGTAAATCTTAAAAGCTCTCATCACAAGGAGAAAATGAGTAACTATATGAGGCGATGGATGCTCACTGAACTTACCCGTAGTAATCATGTTGCAATATATGTATGTTAAGTCATTATTCTGTACACCTCGCACTTGTACAGTATTTATATCAATTATCTCTTCATATAACTGGAAAAAGCACTTGCCTTTTCCTTGCTGGCTTCTAAAGTCTTCAAATCTGCTAAGCAACTACTCCTACTCTCTGGAAGTTAAGATGCTTGATCAAGAGACAATTTCCAAAGAGATGTTGCTGCAAGCCTCTTTGTATTTTCTTGGTGCCTCCCAGCAGGTGGACCCTAAAAATGAATGCTTTTCCCAGCTGCAAGTGGTTCAAGGCTCAGAAGCATGACTTTCACACCCCAGTTCGCAGGTATCAGCTGTCTGGGGGGGAGCTGGTCACTCTAAGGATTTGAGCCTGCGTAAAAGATTGGGGGAACTTCATCTTCCTTGCACCAAAAGCTAATTTACGCATTTATATTCTCTGGAAAGAGCCTCAAAAGTTGATCCTTACAACTTCTTGATTCAGAAGATAAGTCATGACAGTAGACCTCGGGCCTGATGGTTTCAGCACATCTCTTCTGAGGTCTTATCCAAAGCTGGGGTTCTGACAGTGAACGAAACAGACAAAAGTAGTCCCGTAAAAATAATCTGGGGCAATTCATTGTCTTTGCCCATACATAATACTCCTACCCTCTGGAGAGAAAAGACATTGTCTTGCTTTGGGATGAAGTAAGGGAGCTTGCACTGAATGAAGAGAAAGCAAGACCCGCGCAATCTGCAGCTAAGAAGGGTGGAGAATGCCACGCAGCCAATCACTGACTGTTTATAGGCCCCACTGTACCTGCTGTGTGGGCTTCATTCTGATACTACCCATAATAACAATATCCAGAGATAACGTATGGTAGAACCTTGCCTAATACCTTCAGTATCTTCTCTGCGCATACCTATACATATATGTGTATTTTTCTATTTGTAAAAATTTGTCTTATAAAGTACATACTCTTTTGTATGTTGATTGCATCACTTCAAATGATAAGGGTTTCCAAATGCTTTAAACTTTAATATTTAGGTGGTAAAAAGGGTTAAATAATACCATGGAAGTTCAGCAAGGAAAATATAGAACAATATTTATCTAACTTCAGATAAGGGAAGGCTTTCTAAGCAGAGATGCAAAAACCCATTATTTGGGAAATCCGATTTGGCTTCTTAAAAATGAACACGTCTTTACAGAAGAGAACTCCATAAAAATTAAATGGTAAGTGAAAGTTGTTAAAAGATGCTTTGAGTAATCCGCGAGGAGAAAATCCATGTAAACCTTTCAGAAGTAAGCAAAGACTATGAAGATGTAGCTTACTGGAAAGTTTTTTAAACCTCTCCCCACACCTCTAGTAATCAAAGGCAAATAAAATGAGGTACCACTGTGCACCTTTTGAACTGCTGCAAGTTGTGGGTAAATGATTGTACTCAGTACCGCTGACACTGAATTCTCTCATACGCTGGTATTGGGAGCTTGTGAGTGTGTCACAGCACTTAACACTCTGATCAAAAAGCCTTTGGTTCAGTCATTTCCCTTAGAGAAACATTCTCAAGGAAAACCTGCGGCTGGGGCTCAGGCAAGGCGCCAGGCTCAATGGAAGACTGAAGGCAGGGGGCGGGGCTGCAGGGATTGAGGGGCGGGGCGGACAATGGAGAATGCAGGGCCTCCCCTGTGACGTTTGGGACTGTGTCAGAGGGTCCCAGTGAGAATAGGGCCTAGGCAGAGGTGGCAGGACGCAGCCACGCCATGGCAAGTAAGTCTCTTCTACAGTCTCCTTGGGGGCTCTAAGAGTCTTCATCTATGGGGTCCTTGGGCAGTCGGATCCTGAGATGCAGAGAATCAGCCGTAGCTGATCCGCATCAGTCAGAAGCCCAAGCAGGCCCCAGCTATGTATCTGGCAGCCGTAAACGCAAGCGGAGCCGACCATCCATGGGCCCAGAGTCTGAGGACAGCCGCAGGTCTCTAGATCAGGAAGAGAATCCACAGCAAGTTGTCGCACCAAACCATGGTAAAAAAGTTAAGATCACATCTGAGTATGCTTATCAAACTTTATTTTTGAATGGGGAAACCAGTGACGTTAAAATCCGTGCTCTGGGGAAAGTATGGTGCTTACACAAGATGTTTTTATGTCAGTCAGGCTACTTTGCCATTATGTTTAGAGGTTCTTGGGAAGGCTCTCACAGCGATATTATTGACCTGGAGATTAATGACCAGAATATAGATGCAGAATCCCTGCACTTTGTACTAGGCTCATTGTACAGGGACGAATATGTCATAAGGGAGCCCCTTCAGGTTCTAGGAGTTTTGGCAACAGCATGCCTGCTTCAAGTAGAAGACTTAATTTGGCAATGTGAAGAGACCATGAACGAAACGATTAATGTGAAAACTGTTTGTGGCTATTATGCTGCAGCAGAAACCTACGGTTTAGAGTCGGTAAAGACAGGGTGCTTTGAATGGCTTCTCCACAATTTGATGACACATCCAAGTGTTGAACTTTACAAAGAACTCAGAATAGATCTCATGAGTCTGCTCATTTCTTCTTCTAATTTATTAGTAATGCAAAAGGAAATAGATGTCTACACCACACTTAAAGAGTGGATGTTCCTTCGTCTTAACCCAGCTTGGAAAGGATCAATGAAAGAGCTTTTAGTTAATGCGAATGACTGGTTTTCCAGGCGCAGAGAATGTGTTGGTCACATTGCCTTCCTTGAAACCGAACGAGGCATAGCATTTCAATCAGTTTTTAAAAATTTGAGGTTTCAGCATATCACCTGTGACCTGGCCTCCGCAAGAGTTATTGAGCAAGATGCTCTGATACCTTCAGAATGGTTATCACATGTTTATAAACAGCAATGGTTTACCTTGCTTAGAGCACAACAATGCGGGGAAATTGGGCCCCGATACATCAATGGAACAGAACTTGAAGAACATAGCATGAGATGCGGTAAAATGATTGTCAAGGATGGAAAATACTCCTGGAAGTGGTCAGGTTTCAATTTTGGCTTTCCTTTACATGTCATCTTCACCAGCCATTATGTAATTTTCAAGCAAAATACTTTCCCTCAGCCCTGTGATGGTTCAGATTGTTTACAGCCTCGAAGAAATGTTGCATTCCGATTAACGTTGCTATATTTCAATTCTAGTGGAGAAATAAGTTTCCGCAAAACAACTGGATATAAAATCCTTACCTTTCAAATGGATGAGGAACAAATGGTAATGAAGTTGGATAGCAGAGCTCTGAGATTCCCTTTATACATATTCTGTAACTTCCTGTTTATGTCATTAGAAAATCCAGGAAATTGATCTTATCAATTAGGATATATTAGCATTTTGAAACCTTCTAATGATTCATGTCATTTATTGGCCCTCCTGTTAAACACGATAAAGATGACGAGCAACAGAAATGAAATCTTTCAGATGTAAAAACTATCATAAAAAAATGACTATCTTCATTCTATTTCCGTGGGTTTAAGAATAAAAAGTTTACTTTCAAGCAAATATCTGTAAAACCAAATAGTAATTGATGTTGGCATCTCTTGTTTCTCATGTATCAGCAACAGACGGCTCCAAATACCAGTGAGACTACATTTCGAAGGAATCAAAAATAAATTAACTAGTTAGATAAATTTTACCCTAACACTGAGAAAAAATAAAGAATTGTCTTCCTTGCTGAAGTTGTTGTGCAAATGTGGCTTTGATTGCGGCAATATTACAGGAGCGAGTCAATCGTGTACAGTTTTAAATAGCCAGACAATCTCAGGTTTTATAACATTACATGCTATATACTGTAGTGTTATTTTACAGTTAGTTTGCTACATGGCCCAGTTACTCCGTAGTTTGGAGACCTCGTATTGCTGACTATTCATCTGGAAAAAAATCTATATATATTTTCCACACTTAGAGAGTGGGAAAATGGATTAAAGAATATGTACACATATTATATAATTTATAGTATCATATACTTGAAATAAAATATATAATATTATTTTATTATATAGTATGTAAATATAGATGAGAAAATGTGAATTATAAAATATATATAATTATAATTATATGGTAACACATATAAATACATAATAATGTTAGAAGCAATTTTATAGATGATACGTAAATAAATACATGCAAATAAATGTTTTTATTACTTGCAAAGACCAAAGAAAAATAAATTTTTAAATGGCTGAATACGTGCTGTAATCTAAAATCTATTTCCATAAAAACTAGATATTCCCCCGGATACCCAGACAACGAATAATTTCAAGGTATCTTTCTTTTCTTATTTGTGCTTATATTTGGTTTATTTTTCATTTTGCCAGAGTTTGTTCTTCTTGACCGCAGAGTATTTAAGGTGACATTTATTTCAAAATAGAAGCCAATAGGATAAACAACATTATCCTTTTAAAGTTATGTCTTCCAAACAGCCCCCGACCTAGGAAGAGAGGGCCAATCTGTCCAGCTACCTGGTAAAACTTGCAAAGGTTTTTTAGCACCTTAAATGCTGCTTATGTTGGTTTCGATGAGTGTCTTTCTATGAACATACATATCAACTATATCACATGCTAATTGAGCACCAAGCATGCAGTCAAGAGCAATTTATTTCAAAGTGCCTGCCCCAGCCATTTTTCAATTCTTATTTTCAAGGCCCTCACATTCTCAAAAATCGTAAGGATTTTGCAATAACTTACATCATGATTATTAATGACATATATTTGAAATTTCTTTGGATTGAAAAGGTCAATTTTATCTAACTTGTCTTCTTTTTCCGTTTCTTTTTCAATTGTCTCTCTACTCTGGAGATTAAGGAGACAGTATGGAACCTGCAAAATTTTGAGATATACGTATTTTACAATCTATCTAGGGAAATGAGGGCATCTGTCAATTGATATCTCCTGATGTTGATGATTAACTTTTGGCATGCATAGAGTTCAATCTATCCGGGGAACAAATCATGAGAACTGGAACACTAATTCTGAGTTAACTCAGAGGGAACTGACTAAGTGCCAGTTGAAGGCTCAGATGGAGACCAGGAGGGTTAAGATATGACCTAAACACATCGGAAAGTTGTGCTGTGAGGATTGCTACTACAAAGTAGGAATTTTCCATAGTTTTTCAGTGTCACATTTTGCTGCATAAAATGGTATATACTTGTATTGGCCAATTTATCCGCTCTTTCACATGAAGTTTGCCTCCGACAGTCTGAGATTCACCATCTCTTAACAAAAATGGTTGTCTCTGCTTCTCATGAGGTGGGCACTGGTCTATGCCATAGCCTCTGTTGCCCCCTTATATAGTCTAAAGCCCTCAGATCACATACAAATCACGTAGCCTATGTGCCTGGAGCCTAAGTTGTACCATCATGAAAGTGTGGAAAAAAGGAATGCTTTGTCTTAGTCGTGACACAAACTCTATGTGGAGTGAGTAGTTGTAGCTTCTTGGAATAAATGTTTCATTGTCTTTGTCCAAGCTATAGTTCCTCTTATTTTTTTTTTTTAAGATTTCATTTATTTATCTTTAGAGAGGGGAAGCGGGGGAGAAAGAGAAGGAGAGAAACATCAACGTGTGGTTGCCTCTCACGCGCCCCCTACCGGGGACCTGGCCTGCAACCCTGGCATGTGCCCTGCACTAGGGAATTAAACCAGCGACCCTTTGGTTCGCAGGCCGGTGCTCAATCCACTGAGCCACACCAGCCGGGGCTATATTCCTTCTTCTTAAAATGCTCTTGTGTCCTATTGTCTAAAAATTCTCCTGATTCCAATTCCAACAACTTCTCCACTCTAAGACATCCTCTTATCCTGCTGATAGATAGAACCGATGATCTCTTTCTCTTTTAGGCTTCTAGACACATTGATAAATCCACTAGTTACATAAATGTCTTTAATGTTTCAATTACCGCATTAGCAAATAGTGAATATTGCTAAAGAACTGCTGATTTGTCCGTGGTAATAAACAAGCAGATACCTATGTGGCCGCTTTAAAACCTTTGAAGGTTAATCTTTCCTTAATTAAAAACACACAACGCGCCCCGGCCCACACCACCCCCTGGGACATCTTGGACTCCAACCACGTGGCTCCTGGAGTGCGGGGCTCACAGATGCAGGCACTGAGTTGCCAGCAGGTTGCCTCTTCCCATGGAGAATGGCAGGGGAGGTAAATGCTGGACTCGCCTCCTCCCATGACCACTTCAAAATTACAACTAAACTACTGAACCAACATCGCTGAGAACCACCTGAAATCTAGCTGAATGGAAGTGCTATGACTAAGGATATAGAGAAGAGCCAGATCAGCACTGGAAGGAAGGGCAGAGGCACAAAAGGGCTGGTCCCACACCCACGTGTGGCATGTAAAAATCAGGAGGGATATCTCAGCTGTGAGGAGCAAGAAGTCCCAGCCCCACACCAAGCTCCCCAGCCCAGGGTTTCAGTGTCGGAAAGAGAAGTCCCCACAACTTCTGGCTATGAAAACCATCAGGGATTGTGGCTGAGGGGCTTTCATCTGGGTAAGAAAGAGGAGCCCCAGGTGTTCGTCTTAAAGGGACCACACATCAATGTACTTGCTAACTGACTCACTCGCTAGGAGCTCCAGTACTGGGGCAGCAGCTCGAAAGGCACCGGGGGCATACAAGAAGGAACTGAATTATGCACCTCACATTAGGGTGAGGACTTGGAGAGGGGCAGCTGTCCCCCAGGCAGAACTGCTAGCAGGAGCCACTGTTCCTTTGCTGAGCCTTCCCGCTGCAGGTGCAGATGGGTGCCATATCCGAGTCTCCATTAACCTGGCTCACACTGTTCACCCCACCCTGGTGATTCCTTGAGACCTTGCCCCACCCAACCTGCAGGCTCACCCAAGCCGCTTCCAACGGCTATTCTGTACAAACGGACTGTCTTGGCTCATGCTGCAGACTTTCCCAAAGTCCCTCAAAGCTTCATAGCCCCAAAGAAGCGTTATCAGGCCTCGATATGCCCTGTAACTCTCACTAAGCAGCAGCTAGCCCGGCACTAGCGACAGCTAGCCTCAGTTCACAGCTTAGTCTCTCCCAGGCACCTCCAAGCCCAGCACAAGTGGCAAACATCTGGAGGTCACTTTATAACTCATACCAAGTGGCCCCAGGCAGAGCATGGCAGCAGCTGACCTTGGCTTGCACATCCCAAGAGGCCCCGGAACAAACCAACCCAGAGCTGGCCAGCTTTAGACCACAGCAGAGCAACCCTCCACCACCTCCACAAACAATACACTCAGAGCACAGACTCAGCAGGAACCAAAGCCTTGCTGAAGTGATCCCTGCTCCTCTGCAGCGTTAGCCCCTGTAAAACGGCTCCTCCACTGTAGTTACGGCCAGTCCTCACAACCAGCCCGAGGGTCAGTCCCTCCCATTGATGTGCCAACAGCAATCAGTGCCTGGAGCACTCATCTCAGGTGACTGGCAAGAGCTTGCCAGTGGGCTGCAGGACACCTGCTACATAAGGCCACTCTACCAATACTGGGAGATGAGGCAGCTCTACCTAATACATAGATACAAACACAGGGAGGCAACCAGAATGAGAAAACAAACAAACAAAAAAAATGCCCCAAATGAAAGCACAGAAGAAACCTCCAAAAAAAAAAAAAAGAAAAAGAAAGATGGAAAGAAATGGAGACAAGCAATCTACCAGATGCAGAGTTCAAAACACTGGTTACAAGGATGCTCGATGATCTCGGTGAGAACTGGGACAAAGAGATATGAAACATAAAAGTGGAGATAGGAAACATTAAAAACAATTGTAAATTAAGAATACAATAACTAAAATGGAAAATACATTAGAGAAAATCAACAGAAGAGTAAAGGAAGCAGAGAGTGGAACCAGTGATTTAAAAAATAAGGTAAGGGGAAACACCCAATGAGAACAGCATAAAGAAGAAAAGAATCCAAAGAAAATTAGTATATTTAAAGGGGCCTATGGGACAACATCAAGTGTGCTGACATTCGCATCATAGGGGTATTAGAAGGAGAAGAGAAAGAGCAAGGAATTGAAAACCTAGTTGAAGAAATAATGATGGAAAACTTCCCTAATGTAGTGAAGGAAATACACATACAGGCTCAGGAAGTGCAGAGAGTCTCAAACAAGATGAACCCAAAGAGGCCGACACCAAGACACACATAATTAAAATAACAAAGTTTAAAGACAAAGAGAGAATCTTAAAAGCGGCAAGAGAAAAGCAGTTAGTTATTTACGAGGGAGCTCCCACAGACTGTCAGCCGATTTTTCAACAGAAACTTTGCAGGCCAGAAGGGACTGGCAAAAACTACTCAAAGCGAAGAAAAGCAAGGA